TATATTATTACCGTTAGGGCCTCAAGAGCCATAAACTTGATATTTATGTAGAGTTTAGTGCGTGCTTGGGTGTCGCCTCTATACCTCCGCCCCCATGCTGGCCGTCACGCCTCATAATAAGTTAAAGCGAGTAATTTATACCCATTCTTGTATTGGTTTTGAAGACTCGACATTACCTGCTCCACTAAATATGGCGCTACGCCTGCACACTGCATCCTAACAACTCTTGGTCAAATGGGTGTAAGAGTGGGTGGGTGGGCGGGCGGGCGGGAACGGAGGGAGAGACGGATGCTGGATACTAAACAGAGGTAATGTAACAAAAACAAATTGGACATACAACACTTCCTTGTTATACTCGACGTTCTTTATAAGTGGAATTTCTTTTCGAGACAAAACAACCAAGACAAACTATCCACAACACACAGGACTATCTACTTTCATAACCAAAAAACTATCCAAACTACTCCCTTACATGATGGGACTAGGGATCTTGCACAGACACTCACTACACTGAACCCAAGTACAACGAAGTAACATATATTAAAAGTATAAAAATAAATAAAATAAAAATACAATAAAATAGATTAGTAAAAAGAAAGCGATCACGTTCATCATCCGGCCAAAATAACCTGCGTAAAATACACTTAATACAACAGTTCGTTACTTCTGTTTACGAGGACTTTAACGAGTCAGGAGGCGAGTCATCACGCTATACAAGTGGAGTTCCAGAACGTCTTGTACCTTCCTCCTACACACTACCGTAAAGAACACAGATTAATACTTACTGTATTTAAGATGATGTCAGGAAGTAGGATGAGGAAGGTGCAATGAATGGTATAAGGCAGGATGAGGAAGGTGCAATGAATGGTATAAGGCAGGATGAGGGGAAGGGAGGTGATGGTATGAGGAAGGGAGGGGGGGTGAAGGGGTGCTGTGTGAAGGGAGGAGGAAGAAGGGCAGTATGGGGGGAGGAAGAGCATAATGAGGGGACGAAAGAGGAAGATGCGGCAAGGATGGAGGGGAAAGACGAACACAGGAGGGAAGGGAGCAAGGGGAAGGAGGGGAAGAAGGAACACAGGAAGGGAGGTAGAGATGAGATGGAGGGGCGGCAGGGAGGACAAGGAAGGAGGGGCGGCAGGGAGGACAGGGAGGGAGGGGCGGTAGGGAGGACAGGGAGGGAGAGGCGGTAGGGAGGGACACAGGAGGGGCGTCCCCACTATCGCTGCGTCTGACAAGGGCATCAATACATATCGATAACACATTCTTCACTGGACGGGGGCCAGATCAAGCACTGCCTGCCTCTTCCCAGTGCCTCTTCCTCAGCCCCATGAAGCCTCCTACCTACCCCAGCCCTGTGAAGCCTCCTACCTCCCCCAGCCCGGTGAAGCCTCCTACCTCCCCAGCCCCGTGAAGCCTCACCTTCCCTAGCCCTGTGAAGCCTCCTACCTCCCCAGCTCCGTGAAGCCTCCTACCTCCCCCAGCTCCGTGAAGCCTCCTACCTTCCCCTAGCCCTGTGAAGCCCCCTACCTCCCCTAGACCTATGAAGCCTCCTACCTCCCCGAGCTCTGTGAAACCTCCTATCTCCAGCCAACCCCATGAAGTCTCCTGCCTCCACTCAGCATGAAGACAACACAACCAAACGACAGAAAACAGGAACACAGAGACATACACATGGCCAGGAGAAATCAGGCACACAGACAGACGCAGACACGCCTATAAGAAACCCATACAAGACACATGGACGGTTGGAACTACAAATGATAGATATTTGCCGGGATTGTCGCATTGGCCAAAAAGCCCCGACCAAAAAGGACCATCGCGCGAGCCAACAATCCCGCCTTTAACTAAAGTTGAGCCCAATTAAAACTTTACTCAGCGGCCGCCGACGAGTTGACAGGAAAGTCGCCCGACAGAGAAACACCATCATGACAAATACACAAACACAACACACTCACTTCTGGCTCCCATTATTATTTCATCTGTGAGTATACTGAACACACATTAAATATTAAAACAAAACAAAATATGACAGTTATAATACCCGGTAACACTACTACAAATAAATAAATAAAAGCAATACACACACACACACACACACACACACACACAATAAATAATAATAATAATAATAATAATTTTTTAGTTCCAGACGTAAATTTGTGTATGTGTGTGTGTGTGTGTGTGTGTGTTGTACGACTGAACACATCCAAGAAAATAATGAATGTTCTGCTCTGAGGAGGGTGTGGAGAGGCAAGGAACTTCATGATAAAATGCAGGAATAGGTTATAAGGGGTGGAAGAGAAGGCGGTGGAAGTAGGAGAACTGGAGAGGAGAGACAGGGGAGGGAGGACGAGGAGGCCAGGAGGAAGAGGAGCGGAGGAGGCCAGAGGTAAGAGAGGAGGAGGAGGAGGAGGAGGAGGAGGAAGATGGTGTGTACTGACAGCTATAAAAATGTGCTGTGGCAGTAATGGGTAAATGCCTGGTCGCCCCGCCCCTCTTCAGTAAATCTTTAATGGGGTGACACGTCGTCCTCGTCGGCAGCACAAAGCCACATCCCCCCACCACCACCCAATCCAGTGTAGGGAGGAAGAGAGGGGGGGGGGAGGCGCTCGTTGCTGTTCCTCGGAGGTCGTCGGAGGTGGTGGTGAGGTAACCATTGCGGGCGACACAGCTGTCTCCTAACACTGAGGGTGTACAGCCACACTACTCTTCCCGCCTGCCTGCCTGCCAGTCGTGTTATCACCAGCATGTCGTCGTCGTTGTTGCAGCCCCGTCCATCCACTCACCCAACCTCCTCGTCCACTCACCCAACCTCCTCGTCCACTCATCCAACCTCCTCGTCCACTCACCCAACCTCCTCGTCCACTCACCCAACCTCCTCGTCCACTCACCCAACTTCCTCGGGTTCACTCATCCAACCTCCTTCGTCCATCATCCAACCTCCTTCGTCCACTCACCCAACCCTCCTCGTCCATCACCCAACCTCTGGGGTCCACTCACCAACCTCCTCGGGTCCACTCATCCAACCTCCCGTCCACTCATCCAACCTCCTCGTCCACCTCCTCGTCCACTCATCCAACCTCCTCATCCACTCACCCACCTCCATACTGGGGCTCGCCTGTTGTTAACCAGTTGGCTATGAGGGAGCCACTCTCAGACCACACCATAACCAACTCGTTCGACGTAACCAACTGATTGTGTGAGCCTGGCAGCCACACCACCATATTGCCTCGCTTGTCGAACCATCTGACCATTTGAGAGGAAAATTCGTACCTCAGTCCTCGTCAGGCAGGGAAAGACTTGATGACGGTACTGACTTCGCCAACCCTCCATTACCTCCCTCTTTTGAAATTATATCAGTAAACACTATGATGCTTCCCTCAGCTATAATTCATTCCTATAATCTAACTAACTCCTTCCATCTGAATATATTTTTTCTCTGACACATGAAAAGAAGTTCATACGACCAGGGTTGACTTCTAAGACTTATCCAGAAAAAGCCAGCTTCCAGGCAACCAGTAAGCCAACTAACCAGTAACCCAGTCAACCAATTAGTAAGCCAGGTGACCAATCATTAAGCCAAGTAACCAATCAATACGTCAGGTAACCAATCACTAAACCAGCAAGCCACCCAATTAATTACTCAGCCAACCAAACAGACCCACGAGAGCATCCCAATCAACCATCTACCCCAATCAGCTAACCCCCTAAAGGCTTAAACCAATCAGCCAGGCAGCAAACTAATCAACCAGCTAGACAGACAGCCACCTTAACCAATCGGCCAACCAGCCACACACAGTCAATCAGTAGACTTGTTAACTGGAGGAGGAGGAGGAGGAGGAGGAGCTGGTCATGATGGCAGAGGAGAAACAAGAGAGCAGAGCCGTCCAACGTATACAGGTGTGTCGATCGCGTGTGAGGATATTTTATACAGGCGGTGCAGAGTCATCCATATGTATGCAGGGGCCAAGGGGGGTAATATATCTGCGACAACCCAGATGCACAACTCATGGCCCGGCGGCGTGGTGTGGGGGTGTGAGGGGAGTAGGGGGGTCTGAGGGGTGGGTGGGGGATGGGGGGGGGCGGGCAGACTCAACCCCCCGCTGGCCACAACACACCCGCCAACACCCATAACAACACCCACACACGAGACACTCCACGCCGGTGTTTCTCATCACCTTCCTGTGTGTTTCTCCCTGTGAGTTTTATGTTGTACAGGTGTTGGTCTGAAACACTATACATGGCGATCATGTTCTTGTTACACACACACACACACCACCTCATCGTCGTCAATTACCTTAACGTGAATCATCTTATTTTCACATCAGAATCTTCACTGTGTTGCATGGTGTGTGTGGGGGGAGATGGGGGAGATGAGGTGGAGATGAGGTGGTGGGGGAGATGAGGTGGTGGGGGAGGAGATGAGGTGGGTGAGGGAGATGAGGTGAGTGGGGGAGATGAGGTGGTGGGGGGAGATGAGGTGGTGGGGGAGATGAGGTGGTGGGGAGATGAGGTGGTGGGGAGATGAGGTGGTAGGGGAGATGAGGTGGGGGGGGGAGATGATGGTGGGGAGAGAACCCCTCACTAGCGGGGTCACATCAACAACAGTACCCGATGGCAGGAGAGGCAAAGGGGAGGTTGTCAGGGCCTGTCTCACCTGATGAATACCTTACCTGATGAAGATAGAGGAGGGAAAACGTCTACCTGTCGCGTGTGCCTCAAGATGGAGTAAGTGGCTGGTGATGGGCGGTCTGGCGTGGTGGTGAATATGAAGATCCGAGGCCAACAGGTTCATTCCACCCCACCACGAACACAACAAAGTAACAACCCGTAGCGTGCAATTACAGTAACACCAACATCCACAATAGCAATAAATACCTATGGACATCTATAAAGGAGCAGTAGCAACATCAAAGAAGAGAAAGTAACATTAAAAAAAAGGGAGCGTGGCTATCCAGTAGCAGCAACAGTAGCCCTAACATGAGGCTCAATTACTGCAGACAACTACGACGCGACGACAGAGGAAGTGACATTATTAGTACTGGCAGCATCACCCTCACCACAGACGTCCACCATTAAGATCAACGCCTCATCTGACAACGACGACAACAACGACACCAAAGACGACGACGACAGCAACGACAACAAAGACGACGACGACAACAACTACGACAACGAGAGCAAAGACGACGACGACAGCAACGACAACGACAACAAAGACGACAACGACAACAACTACGACAACGAGAGCAAAGACGACGACGACAGCAACGACAACAAAGACGACAACGACAACAACTACGACAACGAGAGCAAAGACGACGACGACAGCAAAGACAACGACAACAAAGACGACAGCGACGACGACAACAAAGACGACGACAACAACAAAGACGACGACAAAACAACAATAAACACCATCTCTAACAAAAACTCAAGATATATATACTGAAACACCCACAACCTCCCCAACTACCCCCCTCTACCACCACCTCCCCGACTACCACCATCACCACCTCCTTAACTACCACCATCACCACCTCCCTTAACTACCACCATCACTCACCTCCCTTAACTACCACCATCACCACCTCCCTTAACTACCACCATCACCACCTCCCCCAACTACCACCATCACCACCCTCAACCAACACCATCACCACCTCCCACAACTACCACCATCACCACCTCCCTTAACCACACTCATCACCACCTCCCCAACTAACCATCACCACCTCCTTAACTACCACCATCACACCACCTCCCTCACCACCCACAACCTCCCCAACTACCCCTCTACCACCACCTCCCTCGATTACCACCATCACCACCTCCCCAACTACCACCATCACCACCTCCCTTAACTACCACCATCACCACCTCCCCAACTACCACCATCACCACCTCCCTCAACTACCACCATCACCACCTCCCCAACTACCACCATCACCACCTCCCTTAACTACCACCACCACTACCCCCAAAACTACCACTACCTCCCAACTACCACCACCAACCACCAGCTGATCCGTCACCCATAACTCATGTAAGGTGAGAGGGGGGGCAGGTGTTGGGGGAACGGGCAGGTTAGCTCCCACTGTATGACGGCGCTTTTATGTTGCTGTAAAGTGTATCTTAGCAGGGAACCCCAAGACGCTTAGCACCCATAATGAGGCTGCTTGCTGCGTGGGGGCCAGACCAAAGAACACGCATACAGACACAACACGTATACACGCCACCTTCACCTGATCTTACACAACACAAACTTTAACACCTGCACGATATATATATATTTTTTTTTTATTTATAGATTTGCATAAGAAAAGACACGAGGAATTGATCTCGTGTAAAATAATAATAATAAATTTGGTAGGGAGGGGGGGGGGTGGGAGTTAGGTATGATTAGGAGCAGTTAGTGTTAGGAAGAGTGGAAGGGCCGGAGGGAGAGAGAAGGAAGGAGGAGGGAAGGAAGGAAGGAAGAGGAGAATTTATACTAAGGTTGATTCTTGGAGTATTGGTGTTAAGACTTACCTGGGCTGAGGTACACCTGGGCGGGCACGCACGCACACACCCACGCACACCACCATCACCTCCCTCCCTCACGCTTCAGGAACAACAGACTTACCTGAAAAGTAAAGGAACACATTAGTACAAGGTCAATTATTTCACTCAAGTATTTAGATCAATTAAATCAAGTTAACACAAAGCCAAACATTACAAGAAATTTCCATAAACACACAGAAATTTAAAATGTTTACTAATGAATAAAAACAATAAAAAAAACAACAACACTTAGGTTCATTTTACAACATTCAAAATTAATGTACATAGACCTACACAAGTTTAATATTTTCAAACTATTTTTTCTGTGACAATTTCATCAAAAAATCCTAAGAACAAATCCCTTAGCCTACAGTACTACATAGTTTAACTAAATACAAATAATAATCTATGTCCACAACACAAGACCAGGATAGAAAATTAGACTATTATTATTATTATTATTATTATTATTATTATTATTATTACCGGTACAGACATCATCGCCATAATTATTATTTATACCGGTTATATTATCATTTTTATTACCAAGAATATCATTATTATTTTATTGTCGACATCATTATTTCTTCATTAGTACCACCACCATTATTATCATTGTAGAATCTATATATTTCTGGTCTTGAGAGGCAGATGACAAACACGGCCACACTCCCTGACACATCCTTATTATACCACGGCGCCAGGTGTTCATACCCCAGTGAGTTGTCATGAAAGTGGAAATTTTTATATTGTGGTTCAGTATTTCTCCTCTGAGTAACTTGTTCTTACACAGATAAATTTGCATGATGTACTTGGCAATTTAGTTCTCTCTCACACACACACGCACATACACACACGCGCGCGCGCGCACACACACACAGTACCGAGCTTATAGAAAAGTGGAATATGTCCCTGATACTTTGACATACAGTCCACCACAAATTATAGATCACCTGAAGAATCTTCACCCCAGTTTATATCACGTAAAGACTAATCACCCTAACACTACCTAACCTAACCTCATCCCCTAAATAGTGTTAGGGGATGTGTTCAGGTAATCCCAAATTATTATTATCATTATTATTATTATTATTATTATTATTAGTATTACATGTACGCACAGTAGAGGGAACGGGGGTGGAGGGGTCGATGATCACGATACTGTAACAATTTATGAGTAGGTCGTGAATCGATACAAGAGTGAGTTATGGCTTCACAAGGTAACACGCCCGCAAATACGCTCACCAACCCTCTCTCCCTCCCTGATAAGACCTGAGCCCCACACGCCTACCGCTTCACCAGTTAAGAGAGATCCACGACGCAACTGTTTCCTCCCTTACAACAAGCACTACTCAGCACCTAATATCATCGAAAAAGGTAATGTTCTTGGGCACGTCTCAAGATCAGTTTGTAGTCTCAAATGCCTAAGTGTATAGAACTATTGTGGTCTACTAAAAATCGAACGGGTTAATGTAAACACGTAAAATGATCCAATTATTTATTAAACACTATACAAAATATATATAACTTTCTTTAGAGACGTTTACTTTTGTGTACAAGATGACTGATAAAACAAATCACAATTAAGGTTTTTTATCTGCGAAAACCTCTGTACTCAAATGTTATCTGAACTATTATTTAGGATTTCAATTTTAACTTTAATAAAAAAATATATAAAGTATTTTATTTCAAATATAAACTGTAACAGACAGCTTGGTCTTATTATAATACCAAAAAATAAGCAAAATACTAATAACAATGGATAGAAAATCAACTTCCCACATAATAATAAGTGAATTAGATGAGTGTCTTGGTACTGCAGCCTCAAGTGTACAGTAACCTCGATGCTATTTGGTTCAGTATCTGCTTGTCGGAGCATCATAAGTGAAGAAGTTAAGACACGTTCCCACACCTCCAGTTAGAGAGAAAAAAATTATCTTATGAACCTTTAAGAATCCAAGACGCGAAACCTAATTATTTCCCGCCACTCAGCCAGCCAACAGACCCGGCAGCGACACAACAGCTTGTAATACAAATCTTCCTCAACAAGTTCCTAACAATACTTAAGCCAATTCTGATTTTAAAATACTAATATGGAAGAATTTTTTCATATCCATATGTCCAAATTTACTCACATCAATACACGACTGAACTGGTTTTTATAAAGATATTACCGGTGTGATTTGTATAAGCACAGAGAAGAATGAAGTTTTTAGTCAAACATATCGCAAATCCTAAAATTTATCACTTAAATCATGATCAGTTTTAAAGTTTATTCAGCGAAGACCAGACTGATCAAATATTTAAAGTTTATTAAAATATTTCTGAAGATTTTGTGGCTCTTGATCTCCAGTAAGAGACGCACAATAGCTCTATCATTTAATCTAATACCTGACACACAGACACAAACTCAGGATATTTGCACCTCAGCCTTTAGCCTTCAGTTTGAGCCAGAACAGTTCCTGCAGTTGTCATGTAACTTTGCTTGGGGCGGGCGAGCATGTAATAGTCGACGGTTTTATGGTTACTATTTCAAGCTATCTTATTGAATCAGCTAAAGTGAGTGACTCTAATCCCAGCGTAATCGCAAGGGACGAAATATTAAATCTCCCGAGGTGGAAAAAAGGTTAACATGAAAGTAAATCCTCCTGACCAAATGAAACGAGATCAAAGTCGATCCAAAAGTTAAACTGTAGACGACACCTTCCTCAAGTAGGCTTCAACCCTACATGGTCTCGGGTACAACAGTAATGAAGTAATGACAAATGGTACAACATCCCGGGGTTCAGCATCACCATTACTCCACCTCACCTCCCCTATTTCTCTCTTTGTGTCCCTTCCTCATCATCATCACCACCTTCATCCTCTCCTCAACAGGACCTCATGATGCATCGTCCTGGCTTATCTCGCCCCCTTACACAACAACAGACCACACCTAGCCGACCTGGACGCTCCTTCGCCCTGACAATGTACTAAATCTCGCCCTGACAATGTACTAAATCTCTCCCCGTTACCTCACACTACATAAGATACGACCTCACTACTCCCATTACATAAAATCTTGGCTTGGCTACTTCGACCATAAACCTCTGGCATTATTACTTGTTTACAAAGAATACTGATATCTTTGTGTGAGCCAATTTGAAACTAACGACTTGTTCTTGCATCATGTCCTTTTGGAGGCACATTTTTAAGTGGTATTAATGAGCGGTAAGAGGGAGTGAGTCCAGTAGCTGCGGCTTACACCACCAAATGTAACACTCGTCCATAACACCCCACACCTCTAACTGCCCCTCCCCCCATATACCTAACTCAATGAATATGTCTGCCATCCCCCCCCCCACCCCAATCCTCCACGAAACCGCCCATTCTCGGTCTCTAATAGGAAAACCGCCCAAGGCAAAGGAGTACCTGAACCACAATTGGGCCGTCTCTTATTGATAGTGCGGGAGGGATTACGGGGCGCCAAGCGTGTTATAAACTATGGAGTGGTGGGTTAGCTGTGTGGAGTCTTACCTACCTTCTCCTTATGCGGTTTCATTGCTGGATACTTCACTGTGTATCATGTGTACCAGAGAGCTTGTGTGAGCAGGCGCGCGCGTGTTAGTAGGATATGAACGGACCATTATCAGCTTGCATGAGAAGGTGATAATATACTATTAACACTAATTGTTATGATGAACACTCATTAAAGCCAATTACATTATAATCCGGTATAACTATCATAATCTGGCGTAACGGACTGGAACACACCGCCCATCACCTGACAGGGATACACACTGGTCAAGATAGATAATAACACCCACTAGACTGTAGGGAGAAATATCAGCGAGTAGTATATATTATTTCCCCCCCACACACACACGAATAAGGCGTCACCATCTTTATCCTTTATATTCCTCTGTGAGA